GGGGGACAACAACAACAACCAAGGAAAACATTCAGCTCTCCAAAACTAGGTACAGTGTCTTGCGTAAGACAGACGAAAACAACACGAGGTCTTTGAATTTTTTGTCAAGGACCCGAGAGTGGAAAAGAGAGAGAAACGGAGAGAGAGACAGAGAGTAGAGAGAGAGAGAGACACACACAGATAGAGAGAGAGAGAGATAAATTGAGAGAGAGACAGAGAGAGAACAAGAGTGTGAGATGTGTCGACTGGACTTCCGGTCCCCATCAGTGACAGACGACCTGGTGTCGTGTGCCCGGCAAATAATGGGCGGTTGGAGGATGGATGGGTCTGCTCAGGGCTCTCGGTGCCCCCTCACACACGCTCTCGTCTTTCTTCAGCCCCGGGCTTGGGTTTTTTATTTTTCGTGTTTATTCTTTTGTGAGTGAATGATAGCTTGACTAATGTATACAGGTCCGGGGGTTCGAGCCTCTGCTTGGTCCGACGTTGTGTCCTTGGGAAAGGCACTTTACTGTTTACTTTACACGAACTTCCCATTTGGCTTGGTCCTATCGGAGACGGACGTTAAACTAGGGGGTCCCGCCCCTTAAATAATCTAATAGTGTTGATAGGTGCGTTAAACTTCATCATGTTATTTTCACGAATGTATACGAAAACGACAGGCAAAGTTCATTGTACACGCAACGCAGAAAGAAGCATTGGAGAATTTTGTAACAACAGGCAAGTCTGGTGGAAAGAGAGGCAGAAGCAGACAGAGGGAGAGAAAAGATACTGGACAAGTTGACAACATGGCTGGGAACAGCAAGAACGACAGACACCATTGCTGCAACGCAAGACAGAGTGAAGTGAAGGTCCATGATCGCCCACGCCAGTCGGCAAGGCTCCAGGTGATGATGATGATGACATGACTCCGGATGATGAGAATGGTGATGATGAAGACAAGGCACCGGATGATAAATATGATGAGCCGGCTATCGGAAGCGGCCTGTGACAGATCCTACTTCTTTTCCCTCCTGTCTTCCCATCCATCTGTCTGCCTGTTGTTGTTCATTTTTTGAAAAAGATTGTTTTGTTTGTTTTGGGGTTGTTGTTTTTTTGCACTAAACGACTGTCCTTGTATTGACATTATTTCACAATGTCTGGTCGTAAACAAGCTGGAGTGGGTTGTTGGCGGGTGCTCTGGTTGTGGGTGGTTGGCGGTGCTCTGGTGTGGTTTGCTCCTTCTTTCCTATAAAAAAAACCTATCGTCTGTATCTCGCCTCCTTCTCTTTTATGTTTGTTATTCTCTTGTACACATATACTATATACTACCTCTAATCGTTGGCACTTATATGACTTTAGTGTGTTGCAAGTGCCGTAAAACTTACTTTAAAAAGAGACAGATCCTACTTCTTTCCCCTCCGGTCTTTCCATCCGTCTGTCTGCCTGTTGTTGTTCTTTTTTTTTTTAAAGATTGTTTTGTTTGTTGTTTGTTTTGGGGTTGTTGTTGTTGTTGTTGTTTTGCACTAAACGACAGTCCCTCCTGTATTCCCATTAGTTCCAAATTTCTGTCGTAAACAAGCTGGACCTATACATCGTGACGTGTCTCGGCCAGCCCAGCTGACACAATGTGAAACAACAGCAGACAGACAGACAGACTGAGAGTGTGTCAGGACAGTCTGACCTGTGGTAGGTCAAGTCTGCACAGACGTAGTGGACACATATAATAGACGACACGCACATACAAATCATCACGCGCATACGATAGATTCATAATAATAATATTAATAGATAGTATTTGTACAGCGCAAATCCCCGCCCAACAGCAAGCTCTGTGCGCTTCACAATCTGTACTACTACCCCAGCAGACATGAGAGCATTCTGAAACAACCTCAACTTCCTGGGAAGCATACAGTGCAAGCGGCCATTTTGAGACGCTAAAACACTAACATACTGACAATATCTTTCTCTATATATGGCAGGGCACCCATTCCCACCTGGGTGTAGTGAGGAAAATTGGTGTAAAGTGCCTTTCCCAAAGACATAACGTCGGGCCCGCGGCTTGAACCCCCGAACCCACAACCTCACGATTACAAGTCCGGTCGTCTAACCATTAGGCCACCGATGCCACACATACAATAGGTAACACATTATGTACAATAGACCAACAGCAGACCTACGGTATGAGTAAAACAACGTTGTGACACATTTGGAACCATTATACAACAACTAGAAACTCGAATTGTATGTTTTTGTTCACAGTGTGCAATATGTAGGCTACTTGTCTGACGGTAAGCTTCAGGAAAGGAAAATAGTCAAATATCCTCTCTTTGGGAACAGCATAAAGACAATTTCAGTCTGTAGCGCTGCCCGCGGGGGGGGGGGGGGGGACCCAGTTTGTGGTCAGATTAGTGAGAACAAGTGTGATCCTATCGTGACGTGTTTCCAGTTTCCCGGAAGTCTGTGCGCCACACCAGGAAGTACATTTTCCCGCGGACTATTCATTGTCCCGGGTCAGTCGAGTCGTGTGACGTAGATCTGGGCTGTGGTTACAAAACCCTTCCTCCGACCCTGCCCGGCCACCCTGTGGGCTTTTTGCCGTGTGGATTGAATGTCTTGTGTTGTTTGCCGTGTGGATTGAATGTCTTGTGTTGTTTGCCGTGTGGATTGAATGTCTTGTGTTGTTTGCCGTGTGGATTGA